TGATTATTGATAAATTTATTCGGCTTTACAATATGACGCCATTATAAATTAGAAAAATTTTATAACTTTTATTTGTCAATTTTTAATTAATTTATTTGACTTTACAATATGGCAGAAAGTTTTTAATAAATTTATTTGACTCTTTATTCATAAGAAAATTTTAATTAATTTATTTAACTTTACAGCATGACGTTAATCATTTACAAAATACATATTTTGAATTTTATACCTCCCACCAATACAATGTATCCCCCCTGCTTCGGTACCTCGGGTACAATACTAGCAATGTATATACCCGGATACAAGAGTCAGCATTTTACGATAACACCTGCAGATCATGATGTCATGTGAAATCATATGAAATTAGCCAATTATTGTAGATTTTTTGATTCTTAAAGAATTTTAAAGATTTCTAGTATATCATATAAACGTTATACTGAAATTTCATAAAAAAAAAATCTTTATTAGCATGCCTCCTGCATATAGTGATGACCTGAAATGGTGTATAATTTATTTACATTATGATAATTATACAATAATACAAATTACAAACCTTCTCTATATTAGTAAAGGTTTGGTAAGAAAAGTTTTACGCCTATATAAAAAATGGGGGACTGTAACCAATCCATGGCGACAAGTATCTGGACAACATAAAATCTTTAACAGAAATGACATGAACATAGGTGTAAAATATTGTATTTATATGGAATTAGTAGTTTTTTTTTTAATTTCATATATTAAATAATAGACTTTACGAAATATTATTCAAGAAAATCCAGATATGTATTTTGATGAAATCGTTAAAAAAATGCAAATTCAGTGTGGAAAAAATGTTTCAATTTTTACTATGTGGCGCTCATTAGTTTACTGCGGAATAACATGAAAAAAAGTATTTATTTTTATACTAATTTAATCTATATATAAATAAAAAAATATATATTTTATTTAATATTTATTTTTAGTTACATAAAGCAGCCAAAGAACATAATGAATTGCTTCGCAGTGCCTTTATGGCCTGTTTTGGCTTTCAATATAAAAATAATCAATTGATTTTTCTAGATGAATCGTCAAAAGACGAACGAACTATTTATCAAGGATATAGCTACTCTGAACTTAATACATGAGCTATTAAAAAAGTAGTGTTTATTCGTGGTAAACATTATACACTTCTACCTGCATTTACTTTAGATGGTATTATTGCAATTGATATCATTGAAGGTAGTTGTACAAAAGATCAATTTAAAGAATTTGTAATTTCTCAAGTGGTATGAAATATTATTACTTTATTATATGCAATATATATATACATTTTTTAGACTATTTTTTTAATTATTATTAGTTGCCTCAAATGAATCCCTTTCCATATGAACGAAGTGTTTTAATACTTGACAATGCAAGTATTCATCACAATAATGGGTTGCCTGAGTATTTGAATGCATTTGGTATATGTATAGAGTTTCTACCTCCCTATTCACCAGACCTTAATCCGATAGAACTAGCTTTTTCATGTATAAAAAGTTATTTAAAGTGATATCAGTATTTTGTAAAAAGTTGTTTAGACCCAACATACCCATTATTAGTTGCATGCTCTCAAATTACCTCCTCAATTGCTAATAATTTTTTTAATATAGCAGGTTATAAGTAAATACTTTTTAACTTACTATTTGTCATGTCATGTAAAAATTATATTATATTTCGCAGCATATTCTCGAAGAGTTTGACATGTACCAATAGTTTCTACACCACATTTATTAAAGTCTTCATTTGATAGTTTCGAAAGTAATTGTACAGAAATTTGTTGTTGCTCAAATTTTAATAAAAATTTCTGAAAAAATAATCTTTAGTACCTTCGCTTTCATCTATATATTTTAAGAAATCTTTAATAATAGGTAGTGCTTGTTGTAAAGGTAATTGAATAGGCGTTTGAAAAGGTGTTCTATAATTTTGTAAAGAATTATATGGTAAAAATAGATTATAAAATATAGGTGGCATATAATGCTGACCTGAAAAACGTGAATGCTAAATAAAATTAGGTTGCTGCATTAAATTAGAATATTGAATTAAGTTTGCTTGTTGTATTGAATTAGCTTGCTGCATTAAATTAGATTGTTGTAATAGATTAAATTGTTGTAATAGATTAGGTTGTTGTATTGAATTAGGCTGTTGAATTAAATTAAATTGTTGTGATAAATTAGATTGTTGCATCAAATTAGATCGTTGCATTAAATTATATTGCTGTATTAAATTTGGTTGTTCTATTGAATTAAGTTGTTGTACTGAATTAGAGGGTTGAATTTGATTAAATTGTGTAGAACTAGATGGTTGAATTTGATCAAACTGCATAGAGCTAGATGGTTGAAATTGATCGAACTGCATAGAACTAGATTGCAATTGTGATGATATTTTCGCTTTTCTTAAATATTTATATGCAAATAAAGGGTGTGTAGGTGGTTCTGTTGGTGATGCCATTGCTTTATTCTATATGATCCAAAAATTAATTATATTAATATGTATATATATTTTAAATTTTGCTTATAAATTTACTTACAATTTCAGATGCCCAAATTGAAAGCATCATAAAAGTAATTATGACATAATTTTCTTTAGCACCATCCTTATTTAAACATGGTCTATTATAAATTATACAATGATTTTTGGTTCGAATTTCTAAAACATTTTTCGCAATTGATGATTCAATTGAAGAAGGATTCAAAGTTTTAGGAATAGAGTTTTTGGTTTTCAAATTTGCAATAAAGTCATCATCTGAATTATTATCAGATTCAAGATCCTAAATAAAAGATATAAAGTTATTTTTATATAATATTATTTAATATAAATATAAAAATTTATACTTATATTTACTTTTCGTTTTAAACTTGAGCTAACAAACGTTATAAAGAAGGCCATATTGATATTTTTGGATCTATATTTCTGGTAATCTGATTGAAATTTTTTGAAGTCTTGAGTATCAACTAGTTGAGTACCTGCTCCAGCTGCCTTTTTGGATTTAAATACAATACGGTAATTATTTGGATCAATTGGCCTTTTTCCAATTAAAGTTTCAATATTTATATGAATTTCTGAAACTAACTCATCAACTGTAGATACTTTAGCTGTATACCATTTTGCTGGAAGAGACACTCCATTTTCCAATTTGATAAAAATACCATATGTATATTCATATTCAACTTCCTCATCTGATAAAAGCTCTTCATCATCATGATCTTCATATTCTTTTCTATTTTTTTTTTTATCGGATTTCTGATCAAGTTTTTCTTCAGATTCAGATATATCACTTGATAGAGTAGTAAGATCACATGTTTCTACTTCTGAAGAGTTATCGTTATTTGCAAATATAGAATTCAACGTTGCTTTAAGCTTTTTTGCTTTTGAAGATAACCTTAATAAAACACTATTGCATCGAGAGCATAAAGTAAAATCGAAAGCCTCCTTTGAACCCAATAAATAATTATATTGTTTGATTTTTTGGTGGACAAATTCTACTTTCTCTTTTATCCAGTTTGGATCAAACACTTGTGTAAACGCATATTTGACGGCATCTGTCCGATTTCCTTTATGTGGTACTTTAGATAAATCACAGTCACATTTTTCTTGCTGCAAATCAATTCCACAGTACATGCATTTTCGGCAACTAAAACAAGTTCCTCGGTGATATTTTAATTTTGTTTCTTGAAAATCGGTCATTTTTTGAGAAAAAAATATGTGCATGTAAAAAAAAGTAGAGCACAATAGTCTTATATAAATATGTAATATACGTATTAATCGCTGATTAAAGCTATGATTAAGGATATAATTATACATGATTTTACATAGATTCTTAAACTCAGATTCTCTATTTAGAATTTCAAAGATTCTCCGCCATCATCATCGTTAAAATCATGGTGTTACACCTTTTTGCAAACCGCCATAAATCTGTTATCAATTTTGGTATAGTCGCGTTTACATGAAGATTTCACTAGGCAATCAATAATATATAAAATGCCTAATACTCAGTGGTCGAAAAAAGAACTGGAAAAATAATATGCAACAAATTTTTCTGTATTTTAAATTATTCTTCAATTTAAGCAAATGATAAACACCATGTACAAATACTAGGTCTACGATAAGTATATAAACCGGTCTATCTAGGGATGTCTTTTCTAGTTTCATACTTATAACAATCTCTGATATAAGATAAATCATTCTACAGTGTATTAGTATTCTCATTGATAAATTAAAATTTTATATTATTTCGGGAAGAAATGCAGGTTTTGTAAGTCGATTCACTGAGACACTCGAATTTTCAGAATTTAAAATGGATAACGGGTTAATACAAGTCACTCTTATATTTGATAAGTTACCGATAGGTTTAACCTCAATATGGTTTTATATAATGCCTTATGATTTAACCCACTACAATATTTTTTTTTCCGACTGCCGAATATCATTACCGTTTAAGCCTATGATCAACCGTGAAACG